AGTACAGATTCATAGTGCCCACATTCAGCAAGAAAGGAGCGTTCCTGTATGAGGAGCAGCGGGGACTCTACGGGTGCTTTTCAACGGTAGTTTACAGGGTTATTCCTCTCAGTCTTTAGTGCCGCTTTCTTTATCTTCCTTCTCGCGTGCTGCTCTCATCTCTCACTCACACATCACTCGTCTTCTCGTCACACTACACCACCACTCACCCCTCCTACACCTCCTCCAACACACACAACACCACTATATCCGGCCTCAAGTCTACCATCCTCAGTTTAGACAGTTCATTTGGAGCTGGTTGGTTCTCACCTCTGAGGAGGCGTGGTCGGCTGCGGCGTCTAAGATGCTCTGACAGTCCGCATTGGCTGATAGGAGGAGAGACGGGTAAAGAAGAGGAATTATAAGGCTTACGTTGGTGTTTGTGTTGTCTTCTCCTCTCCCTCCTCTCTCTCCTCCCTCCCCTCCTCTTCTCCTCTCCTCTCCTCCTCTCCTCTCCCTCTCCCTCGTCTCCTCCCTCTCCTCTCTCCCCTCTCCCGTCCTCCTCATCCTCTCCCTCTCCTCTCCTCCTCTCCTCTCCTCTCCTCTCTCGTATTAAATATAAACTCAGTATGTGACAGTGTGTTTTGTCATTACTGTTGTTGTGCAGGAGGTGGAGGCTCTGTTTGACGGCGAGGACCTTCCCAAGTTCCTGAGCTGTGAGTTTGTGAGCAACGACAACTGGTTCGTCACATTCAAGTCAGAAACAGACGCACAACAGGTGACATACAGAAATACACCTTCTGATCGCTGAAGTAAAGCTTTTGACTTTAGTTAGCAGCCTCAGTGGAACAGGAAGATGATTCTCTCTCTGTGCTCGTGCTCAGGCCTACAGGTACCTGCGAGAAGAGGTCCGGGTGTTTAAGGGAAAGCCCATCATGGTGAGGATAAAGGCCAAAACCATGGCCGTCACTTCCTACGCTCCAAAGAATGGCTACCGACCCGCCCAGATGGACGGCAATCATTACAGCTCTTACTTCCCGCCCAACACCTACCAGCAGCACTGCCCCAGCCACATGCAAGCACAACAGCTGTACGACTTCACCAACGAGGTGTGGGCTTCAGCTGCGACGGGATACCAAGACTGTGCGGAGGTGAATCCTTCTCACGTCGAAATTTAATGACAGGAAGTTGATTTTTTGATTTGTCTGCTGTTTGAATGTGTGAGGAGAAGCTCTGTGGTCCCGTCTCAGGGTTTAGGTCTCGTTATGTCACGAGCAGTGTGATTTTAACTCGTTGTTTTTGTCCGCAGCCTCAAACGTTGATGAATGACTTCATGAACGGATTCTCAACAGCTTCCAACTTCAAACCTCACAACTCGCACAGACCGAGGTACCTGTATTGTTTATAAATCATTGTTATAAAAAGGAAACTTATTGTTCATGTCCTTCGTATTAGCTGTGAAAACATTTATCTCGTTCTTCTTGTCTGCCTGTTGGTAATCTCGGCATTCACTGTTCCTCTCTCCCAGGAGAGGCTCACGGTGGTCAAACTCCGGCGACCGTTGGCAGTCCAATCAGAATGATCCCTCACACTCATCGGAGCAAGGGCCGGGAGAGCGCTCCTGTTCTCCCACCAAGCCGGAGCGAGGGCGGTCGCGGGGCAACCTGCGCCGTCAGAGCAGAGGAAGGATGGAGCCGACTTCTGATCGGGGAAGGTGAGTCGCACGTTGTGATACCTGTTGTTATCCTTCCACTGTCAGGACAAACAATGTGGATGGACGTAGTTTATATTATAAAGTGTTGGATATGAACATGAAGTCATAGAGACTGACGGGTAAGATTAAAATATAGTCCTCTGAAAGGAAGGAAATCAGGTCGTAGCAGCATCAAAGGTAACGTGATTCAGCTGCAAAGGGAAATGTAAGCGCACAAAATAAAGTAATGCCTGAATGGTGTCTGAATTACACTTCAAAGCGTTGCCGCAGTTACAGCCACAGGTGCTGCAATGTAAAGAGTGATTCTGTTAGTGAAAGTGAGGACGGTTTGCTTCGAGAGCAGCACCTATACCTAATTACAGTTCTTAGAAGAAGCTGCAGCCACTTCAGACACACCTGAAACACCTGAAACACAGGAGCGACGCTTTAATGTAGCAGAGTATAAATCAGTCTGTGTCTTTCTGCTCTGAAGGAGAGGAAACTTCAGCCAGAGGAGAGGCAACCCGAGGTCATGGGACAGATCTGCTGGAGGCAACCGTGTAAGTGGCGAGTGAGCGTTATTAGTGTTTGTTCAGTTTGTAGAGACTCTGTAACCGACTGTGTGTGTGTGTGTTTGTGTGTGTGTGTATTTCTCCGCGATATCTCCGAGATAAACGGCGGGGATTATTTTCTGCGTCCGCGTTTTCACCTCCTCTCACCTGGAGGAGGAGAACCCGTCCGGCCCGGTGCGTTCGGGTGCCGTCGGTTTTCCCAGCAGCAGCAGCAGCGGCGGTGGAGGTGGTTCGTGGAGGTTCGTGGAGGTTCGTGGAGGCGGATTGTGGCTCCTGTTTTCAGGTCACATACTGCAGAGGCTCCGATAGTCCAGCTCCTGTCTCACGGTCCCCCATCGGCTCAGCAGTGCACCGCCAGGCTCTCTCTACCTCTCTCTCTCCTCCCTTTCTGCTAAATTAGTGGAATGAGAAGTGACTCGTAACATTCACACTCCTCCCTCCTCCTCCCCTCCCTCCCTCCCTCTCATCTGCTGCAGTTGCGCGCTCCCGCGCTGTCCGTGTGTGTCGGGAGCGCGCAGGCACATTTACTTGCAGTGCTGTAAAATTGATGGAAATGAAAATATCCCTGACGACAGGCAGCGGGAATATTCATCAGGACATTCACACACACAGAAACACCGCGAGACTTCACCCGTCACTGCCTCATTATTGACATATTGATTATAGCAGATCATCAATCTATAATCAATACACTGTCTGTAGATTCTACAGTAAAACACTGTAAACCCGAAATAAGTTAAAGTTTGTGTAAGAGTAACACACTGATATCTCACAGCCAACCTTTAATTAAACCACATTTTATATCACAGACTGTAAAACCTCTGTCAGAGCGTTTATATTTCTTTTGATGGTAAAAACTTGTATTTATACAGGAACATATGGATTCAAACTTAAAATTAAAACCTCAATATCCTTTTATCATAACAGTATAAAAAGTTTAACATTATTTATTAAAATAAAGTTCTGGAAATCTCAGCTGATAGTTTTCTTTATCAGAAATATGTATTAAAGCTCTTGTGTGTAACAGTGAGAGGATCTATTGTCAGAAATGTAATTTATTACTAATTACTGTTTTAAAAAGTAATAATATTACTTTGCTTACAGTAATTAGTTAATATACTAGTTACTAATACTAATACTAACTAATACTAATACTAATATACTCACAAATTCAAACCGACGACGATTAAAATCCAGTTTTGTTTGTTAAATTCGAAGTAAAATATTTCCAGCTGCTGAATGTGAGCCAGTGGTTCTCAACCTCTTTTATTTATTGAACTATTAAACTCATATTTTAGAATATTTCATATTATATTATTATTACTGAACAATGAACATAAACAGTGAACTCAGTAACTGCAGGAAGTTTGTAAACCAGAGATTTGGATGAATTTTGCAGTCAGTAACTTTTATATAAATAACTTTCACTTTATCCCAATCTGGTTCCTACTGCTGCTCCTAATGGACCCGAACGAAAAGAACCAATCAGAGCCCAGAAAGAAACGATCCTCAGGACCCTTTGAATGATCGTCGTCATGGAGAGTCACAGAAAGAAGCTGATTGGCTCTTAGACACGTAGCAGGTGAGTACTTGCTGAGTCAGCAGGTGTTAACTGATGAAAGGTGAGAGAGCTGATCATGTGACCACCGATCCATACTGACCATCAATACGTTATCAATCAGGCCTCTGATACAGTCACTAATCAATGCGGGTTGTTTTTAGAAAGGTCAATGACAAGTCACTGACTCTGCGGACGTCGAACAGCGACGGACACCTGCTGACTATTGATCTCCGATAGAGCCCGCTGACCTTTTATTGATCTGTGTGTGTGCTGTAATCTGATCACGTCACAGTTTCATAACCGCAACGATCAGCTGAACACAAAACTGTAACTGGAGACACGCACATCTTATTTCAGCACACACACACTGACTGTCCTCCTCCTCCTCCTCCTCCTCCTTCTCCTCCTGTATGCATGGCCGACTCCTCCTGCAGGAGCAGGTTGCAATATGTTCCTGTAAACTGACACCCTCCATCATGTTCAAACATGAAACAGACACAGCCGACCCACGGACACATCAGCTAATTGATTGTAGAAATCAATAACCAACAGGTGCTGCAGGCTGAGCTCACTCTCTACGTGTAATGTGACTGTTTGTAATAAAAAGTAGGACATTTTTGGAAAGTGAGGACATTCACACAAAAATAAACTTTATTGTCCACGATGTGGAAACATTAAGACATTCATAAACATTTTTGGACAGTTAAAATCCTTCAGACTAGACCTGAACCACGACGGCCTAAAACCACATCAAAACCCTCCAACTGAATGACGGACGTTGTGGGGACCCTGTTCCCCAAAAAGAAGCGAGTCCCCATAATGTACGTAAACAGATTTATGTCCCCACAACCTGAGTAACACACACAGCCGACCCACGGACACATCAGCTAATTGATTTTAATCAATAACCAACAGGTGCTGCAGGCTGAGCTCCTCTGGAGCTACAGTGACTATAATAATCTATAATCTATAATTGTATCATATATAATACAAATTAAAGTATTTGTGTTTTCACACATTTTACTAAATTTGTCAAACCAAAGTCATAAAGTTAATCAAGGAAATGTATTTATCATAATACAAAAAGGTTTAAAACAAAATAAACATTGGCTGTTCCTTTATGCTACACAGAGAAAAATATCATTAAATTCATAGAATAACATAAAAAGTATAATTAACAAACCAACATTTACATTTTGATATAAATCCACAGGAAATAATTCTGCAAGTCATCTGAGTTAGTGATAACTCTCGTCCAGCTCTCTTCCTCTCCTCTTGGGATTGATCTGGCTACTTGATTTTAGCAATAAAGCTGCAAACAGATGTTTTCAAAACCCAGAGATGTTTGAAAGAGCTACCTTAAAGTCAAAAACCTGCTGAATCCAGTTCATTTGAACAATTGTGGCTTTAAAATTAAATCCAATCAATGAGGTTTCATCAATAAAGCCAAAAAAACACAGATCAAAACTAAAATGTTGCCAGTTTGAAGGAGCTACCAGCCACAGCACCTGCAGCCGTTGTTGGCCAACAGATGTGGAGACCAGAGTTATTATAGTACTTTTAATTTCAAAATAAAATCAGGTTGCAACAAACATGTTGGTGAGAATGTTCACATATTAACTTCCTGAACAAGAAGTCATCACTTAACTGTTGTCAGGGTGAGAAAGATGTCAGCATTAGCATTAGCATTAGCATAAAGACAGGAATATAACAGCAAGCCTGTCTTATCTCTTATTATTATTTATAGTGCCTGTGTGTGTGTGTGTGTGTGTGTGTGTGAGCGAGCCAGCAGAGCCACTGAGCACGTGCAGAAAAGAGCTCTCATTGTCAGCCTGCTGATGTCACACACACACACACACACAGTCGACCCCCGGCCTGTTACACATGTTCACTGATGCGTTGGACATGAACACACACACACACACACACACACACACATACAGCATCATGTGTTGTTGCTCAGTGGATGAACAACCTGTCTGATTCTAACCTGCCTTGTTTTCCAAATATGGTCGTTGTGTCAGTTCCTGAAACCGCTCCGCAGTGTCCGCTTGAGCCGCCGTCCGTCCAACAATCACCCCAGCACACCCCGACCCCCCCGGCCTGGTGCCCCTGTAGGGCAGTAGGAAGATGAGTGGCGAGTTCACTACGTGCAACTGATCATCTTAATAAAAAGGAGCCTGTGCTGGAGCTCTTAATGCTTTAGAAGTATGTCTACAAATGTTTGTTTATAGATATATATAACTGTATATATGTCTTCTTATTGTTGAACTTGTTTATACTGTTAATCTGTGTTTGTACATTGAGAGCAACGGAAAACCGGAGTCAGATTCCTTGTATGTGCACATACCAGGCCAATGAAAGTGATTCTGATTCTGATATGGCGCGCAGGTTTCGTGCAAAGCGTTTATCGGTCAGCGTTTATCGGACACTCGAGTCAGCTGATTGTTTGTGCTGCAGTCTAAGTGGAGGCAAACTGAGCTCATCAGTAACCGTTCAAATCAAATAGAATTTGTTCTATTTTACAGAAATTGAACCTTCTAGAAAGTAAAATTGTTTGATTGTTAAATAAAATAAATATATATAAAATAAATAGATAAATATCATCACTCGTCTCTGATCAATATTCATCGTAGTTTATCAGCTGTTCTCTTTTATGTACTTTTATTTACTTTATTAAACTCTGTTGTTTCACCTTTAAAACACATTTTATTGTCTTTCTTTGTATTTTATTTTTAAATCTACCTTTTTTAGTTTTTTCCCATTATCGTCTCGTCAGTCGTCTTTGAACTGTATGAAATCAGAAATACTTTAAGAGTGTGTGTGTGTGTGTGTGTGTGTGTGAAGACGTATGAGCCGTTACATCATCAGTAACGAGCCAATTAGAAGGCGGGAGCTTCATTTCACTTCTTGTTCTGAAACCGACGCCGGTTACATCATCGCCATCTTCACACAGCTGTCAGTCACAGGCCTTATGAGCTCATCGCCATGGTTACGGCAGGAGCGTGCGACCAATCAGCTGCAGCAGAGACGACAGCAAAAAGAAACCTTTATAGACTTCTGACCTCCGTTTCTTCTCCTCCCTCCCTCCCCTCTCTCTCTCTCTCTCTCCCTCCCTCCTCTCTACCTCTTCCTCGTCTCTCTCTCTCCCCCTCCCTCCCTTC